AAAAGTGGTGCTGCTGAATGCCGGGTCTGTTATCCAATAAATTCCAGCTTATTTATGATCTTATTCATACCTGGCGTGCATAACCGAAACTTGGATTAGTGGGGAAGGGGCTCCTTCCCTTGCCCTTGTCTGTCCTTCCAGTTATGCTGCCCAGCACCAGGGTAGACTGGAGGGACAGGGGGAGTGTCCATTGTATATAAAAACACCCTGGAGGTTACTAGATGCTCTGCTGTGGCAAAGCCGGGTCTGGAGACCCTCCACATGTCGATAGGGGCCAGGGATGGTATTGGGATTTTGCTGGGTTACTGTACTCCCCACAACCTAGCCACCTCCCTACCACAGCTGGTGGACTTTGTCTCCACGGCACTGCTGGAATCCCCGAGGCTTTTGGTCTTGGGTGATTTCAACATCCATGCATGGGCCGAGTCATCTGGTCCAGCTTGTGAGTTCTTGGAAACCATGGCTTCCTTGAACATGTCCCAACATATTAACGGCCCCACCCATGAGGTCACATGTTAGACCTGGTTTTCTCCAACTGGAGTGAGTGTGGTCTGTTGGTGACAGACCTTGTGTCAGTTCCCTTGTCATGGATGGATCACCACCTGGTAAAATGTAACCTCTCAATGGCCCTCCCACCTTGCAGGGAGCAACGACCCATTTTAATGGTCTGCCCTCGAAGGCTACTGGATCCTATAGGACTCCAGGATTCCATGAGACGAATTCCAGTTGAACTGGCTGGTGCTCCTGTCAAGGCTCTGGTTGATAGCTGGTACACAGCAGCCACCAGGGCTGTAGACATGATCATTCCTAAACGCCCCCTCCAATGCAGAGCTCGGCCAGTGCCCTGGTTTAATCAGGAGCTACGAGCAATGAAGCAAACTAGGAGAAGGCTAAAGTGCATTTGGAGACAGAAACTGACGGATCACAATAAGGTAGGGTTGTGACTAACTGTTACCTTGCTAAGATAAGGGCTGCTAATCAAGCTCACCTTGCTAACCGGATAAGCGAGGCTTCAAATCAGCAGGCAGAACTTTTCTGTATAGTTCGCAACCTATCCGGAATTGGTTGAAGTGACGGGCCCCCCTCTAGTATCTCACCCGACCAATTTGCAGCATTTTAAAAATCCAAAGTGGAGGCCATCCGCCAGGAGCTTTCTCCTTTTTTGGATACAGTGGATCGAGCAGAGATGTCCAGCGCTCGGCCTTGCTCGGTAAGTTTTGATCTCTTTCAGCCTGTGATGCCAGATATTGTAGACAAAGCGCTTGACTGCTGTCGGGCCGCCACCTCATCCCTTGACCCTTGTCCGGCCTGGCTAATCAAAGCAGGCGTATAACAACAGAATGGGCCACAACAATAATTAATGGGTCTTTTCAGGAGGGCAGGGTTCCCCCCGCCCTCAAGGAGACACTCATTAGGCCCATAAGAAAGAAAGTGAATTTGACGGCGGATAATATTGGCAATTATAGGCCTGTCGCCAGTGTTTCTTTCATTAGTAAAGTGGTCGGGATGGTGTTGGCTGATTAGCTTCAGGTGCATTTGGATGAAACAAACGCCCTGGATCCATTCCAGTTGGGCTTCAGGCCACGCCATGGTACAGAAACAACATTGGTCACCCTGTTAGATGACCTGTTCAGGAAGGCCGACAGAGGGAAAATGTCTCTGTTGGTCCTCCTAAATATCTCAGCCGCCTTTGATACCGTTGACCATGGTATCCTCCTGGGGAGGCTCTCCGAGCTGGGAATCGGTGGACTGGCGTTGGCCTGGCTCCGATCCTTCTTGGAGAATCGTCTTCAGACAGTCCAACTTGGGGAGGGGGACTCGGCCCCGTGGAGCCTCAATTGTGGAGTTCTGCAGAGCTCGACCTTCTCCCCAATGCTGTTTAACATCACTATGAGGCCGCTGGGTGGGTTCATCGGGGGTGTGGAGCATCGTGCCATCAGTATGCTGATGACTCACATCTTTACATCTCCTTTTTTCCAACTACAGAGGATGCTGTTCTGTCCCTTCAGTGCTGTCTGCAGTCTGTACTGCAATCGATGCAGGAGAACGGGCTGCGGCTGAACCCGGACAAGACGGAGGTCCTGAAAGTAGGTGGACCCACTGTCAGTGGTTTTGGCAAACTCCTTCTCTTTTGGGGGGGTGACTCTCACTGTGAAGAATGAGGTTCACAGCTTGGGGATACATCTGGACCTGGTGCTCACCATGGAAACTCAGGTGGCATCAGTGGTCTGCACTGCCTATTTCCATCTTTGGCGGATTGCCTGGCTGTGTCCCTTTCTTGACGTTGGTGCGCTTCACCACCTTGGTCCATGTGCTCGTAATCTCGAGATTAGACCACTGCAATGCACTCTACGTGGGGCTACCTTTGAGATTAATGCAGAAACTCCAAATGGTGCAGAATGCAGCGGCCAGACTTCTTAGTGGGGTGAGGAAACATCAACATATTACTCCCACTCTGGCCGCATTGTATTGGCTGCCCATTCAATTCAGCGCTGATTTCAAAGTTCTAATGATCACATACAAAGCCCTAAACGCTTTAGGACCTCAGTATTTGGTGGAACATCTCCTCCCACCTAAATCTACTCGTATCACCCCATCTAGCCAGGAGGGGTGACTGAGGAGCCTAACGCCAAGAGAGGCCCGGAAAGAAAAAACAAGACACCGGGCCTTCTCAGCAGTGGCTCCCAGGCTCTGGAACACGCTCCCCCCACAAAGATTCATCTGGCCCCCTCGCTGGGCACTTTGAAAAACCAACTCAAGACCTGGTTATATAGAGAGGACTTCCCCCCGGGCACTATGTAACTTTCTCTTTTTCTCTATCTTTATCTACTTTGTTTTGTGTAAATGTTTTAAATTGTTATTTCATATTTATTGTTTTTATTCTGCGTTTTGTGAGCCGTCCAGAGTAAACTATGTCTAAATGGGCAACATAAGCCCAATAAACAAACAAACAAACAAACAAACAGTTGGCTCCAGAGTGTATTCAGAGGTTGATAATTCAAAGAGGGTGGAAACAGCAAATGGTTTACCCCAGGGCTCAGTCTTGGGCTGTGTGCTCTTCAAGATTTTTATTAATGACCTGGATCAGGGGGTGGAGGGAATGCTAATCAAATTTGTGGATGACACAAAATTGGGTGGAAAAGCTAATACCGTGGAAAACAGGAAAAAAATTAAAATCATTTGGATAGGCTGGAGCAGTGAGTTGAAAATAATAGAATGAAATTTAACAGGGGTGAGTGCAAAGTAGTGCATCTAGGAGAAAGAAATCAAACACAAAGTTAAAAGGGGGTACAGTGGTGCCTCACTTGACAAGGATAATCCGTTCCAGCAAAATCGCTGTGGAATGAAATCGTCATCAAGCGAAAGTAAAAATCCCATTGAAATAAATTGAAAACCGGTTCAATGCGTTCCAATGGGTGAAATACCTCAGCGTCCAGCGAAGATCCTCCATAGGGTGGCCATTTTCCAGTGCCTATAATGCGAGGAATCCGTCCTAAAACACAGCGGGGAGCCATTCTGCACAGCGGGCGGCATTTTGAAGACCTGACGATCAGCTGTTTTGATCGTCGTTAAGCGAAAAATTGGTTCCCGAAACAGGGAACTGATCATCGTAAAGTGTTTTTTCCCTATTAAACACCGTTTTGTGATCGCAAAAGTGATCGCAATAACTTCATCGTTAAGTGATTTCCTTGTCTAATGAGGTAATCGTCAAGCGGGGCACCACTGTACCTGGTTTCAAGTGAGAAGGCTCTTGAAGTCATTGTAGATCACAAGCTGAATATGAGGCTACAGTGTGATGTGGCTACAAAAAAAGAGAGCAAATGCTATTTTGGCTGCATTAACAGAAATAAAGTCTTGAAATTGTGCAAGGTACTAGTTCTCCTGTATTCAGCATTGATTAGGCATCATCTTAAGTATTGTGTACACTTCAGGAAGAATGCCAACAAATTGGAACAAATTCAGAGGAGGGCAACAAGGATGATCAGGGGGTTGGAAACCAAGCCCTATGAGGAAAGACTGAAAGAACTGGGCATATTTAGCCTTAAGAAAAGAAGTATGATGGCAGATATGATATCACTTGTCAAATACTTAAAAGGCTGTCATACAGAGGAGGGGCAAGATCTGTTCTTGAATATCCCAGAGTGCAGGACACAGAACAATGGGCTCAAGTTAAAGGAAGCAAGATTTCAGCTGAATATCAGGACAAACCTCCTAACCATTAGAGCAGTACTGCAATGGAATCAATTACCTCAAGAGGCATTCAAGGGAAATTTAGACAACCAGCCGGAAGATATCCTTTGATCTGTATTCCTGCACTGAGCAGGGAGTTGGACTTGATGGCCTTATATGCCCCTTTCAACTTCATTATTCTGTGATTCTATGAGTTTCAAGTGAAGGCAGAAAAGGGGGAAAGGAAGAGGGGCAGAGTGCTGGCCAGCTTTTGTTTAGAGTGATGGGTCATACATTCCAAACCACTGGTTGAAGAGGGGACTGAAGCCATACCTGTCTCCCACAAGCATCTTGCAGACTCCAGACTCCAGCTATTTCCACTGAAGAAACTACACCTGGCCTCCAAGAGTGGCCATGAAACTTTTGGAACTTTAATATAAACATATAATTTTGGAGCTACTCATGAGAACCTGAACTTTTCACCTGTTCCTGGCTATGTATTATTTTGGGGACTGTGCAGCCTTGTACTGATTTTAAATGAACTTTAACTGAAATTACATATCAAATATTTCCAGGTCAAACAGGATAACATATTGAAACATGTCAGCTCCATTATGAGTCTTAAAAGTGAAACAAAGCTAAATGTCATGACTATCTGAAGAAGACTCAGCAAAAGTGGAGTTTAGCTGCTTATTATTCAGCCATTAGTCTCCATTGATTTCTGGTTCTGGAAGATAAACTGCCACACATAATGCCAGCTGAGCTTATATTTCTAAAAAAGATATGTAGCAAGATTTCAGTTCTGTACGTTCATGGTAGGAGACACATACACAGGGTGTGGAAGGGGTGCACAGGCTGGAAGTCCATCAACACCGAAGGCACTTGAGTCACACCGACACCAGTCCTCAATAACATCCCCACTGCCTGAACACCACAGGGAACTCATGGTGGCCTCTTGCAACAGCTGGGAAAGAAAGAGAACAGAAAGGACAGGAAGAGAATCAGGAACATAACAGAAGCTTCTTGCCACTCAAAAGGGCTGAACTGACCTCACCCTCCTCACTGCCAGAATTGTTATTCTACTCATGAATTTAAAATTTAAAAAAAAAATTAAAAAAAAAATTTTTTTGCTCATCTTATATGCAGCAGGGTGGTGGTTGCACAGGGAGGATGATCCACATTCTGCCATTTTTTTCATTTGGCTTCTTGATGCCCTCGCTTATATTTGGCTTCATGATATAAAAACACAGTCATGCAGCTTTGGCTGTGTGACTTGGTCAGTACAACCAAACCAAGCTCAGAGCAATGTTTTCTGCCCTCATGTCTGAAAAGGAGCAAGATGCACAATTGCTGATGAGCCCAGGAGAGATGAAAAGCAATTGAGAAAGTGGAAAATCATAATTTCTCTTCCTAAAGCCTTTTTTTTAAAATTTATTTTGCTGTTAGTCCTCATCTAGAACATTCAGTTCAACCATCTGGTGCATTGTATAGAGATGAGGAACACCCCACACAACCCATTAAGATTTTGTTGGACATCAGCCTAGCTCATCCCACACCATAGCCTACAATGGTTAGGGCTGATGAGAGCTGCAGTCCAAAACCATCTGGAGGTCCACATATTCCCCATTCAAATTGTCCTGCAATAAATGAAATACAGAAAGCTGGTCATACTCAGAGATCTTTTGAGACAGGCCCCTAGCTTGCTGCCATTCAGCCATCATCCCATGGACATGCTATGGCATTGTCCATAAGTCCCACTTGTTCTGCTGCTTGCCATTTATATTTCACATCACAGTTTTCCCTTGTGTTCAAACAATTTCACATACATGATCACACTACACTGGGTTAGGTTTGCGTTAATATTTTTCCCTACAGCAAGGAAAGGAAAGAGGTCAAAGGAGATGGTTGTTGTGGGTTTTTCGGGCTCTTTGGCCATGTTTTGAAGGTTGTTCTTCCTAACGTTTCACCAGTCTCTGTGGCCGGCATCTTCAGGGGACAGAACTCTGTGCTCTGGTGTAGTTGGCTTCGGAGTGCAGTATTTATGGCTGTGAGATAGGCTTTTGTCTTTTTCTGTAGATAGGTGATTAGTGTGTCTTGTTTTGGGTGTATTGCTGTGTTAAGGAGAAGAGATTATCTGTCACTGTGGTTGATGGGTTTTATTAGCTGGTCTTTTGTGCGTAGTGACCCCCTGTCCTTGTGGTTGGGTAGAGTTCGTCGACCTTTTGCACACTGTATTTTTGAGAGCTGGGAGCCAAGTTTTATTGAGCTTCACACTTTTTGTTGAAGTTCTGCTGGTGCTTGTGGATTTTAATGGCTTCCCTGTGCAGTCTGACGTAATGATTGCTGGTGTTGTCCAGTATTTCAGTATTTTGAAATAGAATTTCATGTCCAGTTTGTTTTGGGTCATGTTCAGCAACTGCAGATTTTTCTGGCTGTTTTGGTCTGCAGCATCTCTCATGTTCTTTGATTCTGGTGTGGATGCTTCGTTTTGTGGTTCCAATATATACCTGGCCACAACTGCAAGGTATCCGGTGTACTCCTGCAGTGGTGAGGGGGTCCCTTCTGTCCTTTGCTGACAGTAACATTTGTTGTATTTTTGTGGTGGGCTTGAATACTGTTTGTAGGTTGTGTTTTTTCAAAAGTTTCCCCATGTGGGGACCCCCTTTGATGTATGGCAGAAATACTTTATTTGTGGGTGGCTGTTTTTCTTCTTCAGTTCGGTGTTGTTTTCTTGGTTTGATGAATCTTGTGATTTCATTTTTGGAGTAGCCATTTGCCTGTAGGGCCCAATTCAGAATGGTTGAGTTCAGTGCTGAGAAACTGAGCTTCACAGTTCTGATTTGCCCGGTCTACCAGTGTTTTGATTATGCCTCTTTTTTGCTGTGGGTGGTGGTTGGAATTTTTGTGTAGGTACCGGTCTGTGTGGGTGGGTTTTCTGTAGACCTTGTGTCCCAGTCGGAGGTCAGTT